CTCTTGTGTATGCATTTAAAGCACTCCACGGACAAGCTCCAACTTACATTAGCGAACTAATCGAACCGTATATACCTTCACGTACCCTACGCTCAGAATCAGCTAATCTTTTAGTGGTTCCGTCAACAAGAACTGTGACATATGGGAATAGACGATTTGACAAAGCGGTCTCCACTTTATGGAACTCTTTGCCTTTGAATTTAAGAAAGTGTGACTCTGTTGGAATTTTTAAGAAAAAGCTTAAAACCTTTCTTTTTAAAAAGGCCTATGATTTATAAATTGTGTATCTAAGACTTTTATTATATTTTGGACACTTTTTAAATTTTTATAGTCTTTTTAGTACTTTTACGTATATTGGACACTTTAAAATTTTTTTATATATTTAACTTATAATTTTTCGAATGTGATTGCTGTAAATTTTTAAGTTCTATTTGTTTTATATATATTGCTTGTACAGCGCCTTAGAGTTTAATATATAGGGCGCTTTATAAATGTTTAATAATAATAATAATAATAATACATCTTGGATAAATAAAATTTCATTGGTTGTAAGAAACGATTACTAGTATATCAGATATATATCTTTTTTCATGTTCAAGGAAGAGACAAGTCATAATAAGTTGACCTGTATATATGAAATGTTTTCTGATCTTCCTTCTGTAATATCTACTTCAATCTCTTTTGGTTAATATATGCCAAAAATTCATGAAACTTTCATTCAATATATATTTTAAATTTTATTTTTGTACCAATTATTTAAACCACAGATAAATTATAAAAGAATAAACAAATGTAGTAAATTGATAAAATGATAACAAGAGAAAGTACTTTAGAGGGCTGCGACACCGAGTTGCTTAGTCGGTTGCTTATTCTTTTTCTGTCATAACACTTTCACAGGTACATGTACGATAATGCTCATCTTTCACTACAAAATAACATCCGATCTACACACAACGAATATACTTATTCGTTAGAAGTTGTTTTGAAAAAAAGGGGGTCAACAAAAGAAAGTTCCTCTATTTCAAATTAAACAAAAATACGTCAAGACCAATCTAAATTTTTCCCCTTAATCAAAAAAGTAATTGGATGTATATATGTAACTTTGTGGCTTATAGTGCATCACAAATATTTTGCCAATGCCTCTCTTAATCCTCATATCTACAACTAATAACAACAACTATTTTTCAATACAAATTCTATCTGTGATCCTCTTGAATACAGTGTCAGCATTATTTTTGGAACATTCTTATATAAACCAGCAAAAAAAAGTTGTTTTAAAAATTGTATTAAGTAGCTTACTCTTTGGTTTATTAAAACAGGTTCTAATTCTTAGAACTGAAGAGTCAACCACGTTTATTCCTTCAGTATAATGTCAACAACTTTGCTAAACCTATCATTAATTTGACCTTCAACATCTTCAGCTTTGAATTTGACCAAATAAAGTTAAGAGGAATGAAATTTAGCAATCTACTTGTACAGTGTATGTCGTTAAACCCTATTCTTTGTACATACTACAGTACGTGGCAGTCTAAAAAATGCAAGTTAAGTTGCAATTAAAGACAAAAAAGCATGTTCCTGAGTTTTTTTTTTATTATGCAGACAACGAATAGAAACCATGCTCAAAAGTATATTTGAAATACTACAAATTAGGAGCCGAGCAAACACGGACTTTTGAAAAACATCAGAGGTGGGACCATGTGTCATGTTTGAGTAAGCATCCCTGTCTACCAGTGGCACCCACCGTGTGCTCAAGTCATAAATAAACCTTCTATTGCGATGATCAAAAGTATGTTGATCATTTTTTATCAGATTGATTGATTGATTGTATATTGTTTTAACGTCACTCTCAAGAACTTTTCACTCATATGGAGACGCCAGCACTTGCCGGTGGAGAGCTGCAAATTTTGTTCTATACTCGTGGATCGATACTCAGGATCATTGAGCAGGGAGGGATCTTTTTCGTACCAGCACCTACTGCGACACTGGACCTCGGTTTATACGGTTTCGTCCGAAGGACCGGTCTCAAGGTCCCACAGTGGGATTTTTATCAGGAAAAACAAGGCAAAGGTTTAGAAATCATTTTTTACTTCCGTGTTGTTGCGTTGTGGTCTCCTATATATCAATACTTACGGTACACACCACAAACAAAGAAATCGATGCATGGATTGATATATTTTGCGACTCTTTCTGAATTGAAATGACAAAAATATCCAATCCCTAAAATAAAAAAAATATGTTAGTTTTTTGTGCTTATATAATCAACTTTGTATTTTTTTTTAATGTAATTCTTTTTTTTCACATTTCTTTTTCACATTGTGACAAAATCCTACAAAATTCTCCAAATTTACCCCTAAATGAAGCATATGGAGATAGCAAACAATATTCAAGAGTCTATTTAAAAAAATCTATTAAGCAATACAAATTACGAGCAGAGCAAAAACGGATCTCCAAAATATCGGAGGTGGGATCGGGTGTTATGAAGGAGTGAGTATCTCCTCTCGACCAGTCACACCCGCTGTGTGCTCCTTGTCATGATGGGAAATAGCGGAAAAATCCGTCGTCAATTCAGTGTTAAAATAATGGACTGACAATTAGTATGAAAAACGTCAGTCAACATTTGCCTCAATGATAAATTGTATTTGCTGACAAGGTTATTGTATCTACCATAGAACTTACAAAATTATGATTTTAAAATTATTTTCAGGGTTACCTATTTGAATACTAGTATTCATCCATGAGAAATATTGCTAATTTTTCAAGAAAAAAAAGTTTGTGTTATTTATCCCTGATCTTTTTTATTTCTGGGGATCAATATTACTCTTTTATAATAATAAATAACTTTAATATCATAATTATAAAATACTTTTTAAATGGTGAGATTGTCTTTTATTACATACTTAGTAATAAATACAGGATTTTTGCATATGCAATATGCCTGACGTCACAATAGCCGTGCCAGCCCTGCAGAGCTGATATAGGTTATCAGCCCTGGAGGGCTGATAATGATCAATATCACACCCCTAATAAATTAAACCACAAAAACAAAAACAGTACTTGTGATCATACACAATTTTTTGGTGGGTTCATATTCTCTTAATTTCAACTGTTTGAAAATAAGGATAATCTAATGTACAAATAATAGATTATTTTCGAATTACCCAAACCGTATGAGACAATAGACCAAGTACATGCATGTAAGAAGTCCCTGCAAGGTTATTTACTTATTTTTTTATCAACTTAATGTGTGCTGTATTTTATTACTAAGTATGTAATAAATATAATGATCATACCCTCTGGCTGATATTGGTGTCTCGGGCTGATACAGGATGTGATATGGAAAAGGATATCTATTACTAGTATTCTCTATATAATAAATCAAGTAATTCTGTCTTAAATGGAATAATATTCATCTCGCTTATATGAACGGCAAACTTCTAATGTTTAAAAATTGTAAGAATGAAAAACATATAAATTAGATATTGTATTTATTTAGATTCAACTATTTATACATTTCATGAAGAAATAGAAAAGATTTTAAATTTACAGAAATCACAGACACAATTCATTTATTGGGAAAAAAATATGCTGTGTAAAATAGAAATTTCATTATCGCAATGTTTTTTTTTTAAATTTTATTACAATCAACTGAGATATATAAACCTCGTATGGAGGTGATAAGTGTGTACCATGAAGCTTGGTTGTTAAATTGTCATTAACGCCTTTCTCTATTAAAATAATCAAATACGAAACAGATATATCAGACTCTATGGTATCTATTCTCTCAAGCTCACCTGGATATATCGTGTCGACATAAGAACAAAAATAACCATATTGTTAATTGAAAATGTGTCGTCCATATATCCAAATGTCGAGTTGAATTTCACAGCAAGTGTTTTCTTTTACTTTTCTTTTTCACGTATACGATTTTGAACGAAATACTGCTTCATATGAATACAAAAATAGGTTTTCTTGTAAGAGAATGCATTTAAATACCCATTGGAAATGCGATAGAATGTTTGATGACCTGAAATCAAAATTTAAGCATCTTTTAATATCAACTTCAGAGTACATTTGTGTTTCATTAGCATGTTTTTAACAAAATAATTTTGCAAATGACCAATGACAAGATGATTAAGGTTACGAGTTCCACTTACAATATGTACTAGTATATGTGCAGACTTTTTGGAAACAAATGACAGCTGCTTTTTCAATTTAAATGGAAAATGCAGCTGTTAATTGTTTCCAAAAAAGTCTGCACTTTAATTCGCGTGGGGAATGGCTGTATATAAAGTTGAAAAGTAAAGTCGTAATTGTAATTAATATATCAAAGTTACTAAAAAGTTCTTTTAACGAAAGGGGTTAAGAAACTTCTGTAGGTGAACGTGCTTACACAGTGCATATTATTTTGATGGATATAAAATGTTATATTTTTGAGAAATTCATATTAACTTAGATCAATTGCATTTTATTTTTTTATCACTTTAAGGCTTTTCAAAATGTAACCATATTTATCCTATGCTCAAGAATGCTTCACTCGAAGTGTAGAAAGGAAATGACACTGGGGCTTCGGGAAACCTGTCCTTGAGCAGATAACACCACTTCCGAACAGGTCACGAAATCACTTTCTTAGCTTGCAAAGTAATAGTGCAAATAACGGCCTTTCAAGTCATATATTGTTTTAAAACAGTTGATGATTTTTTCTTGACAAAGAAGAAATATTTTTAGGTAGTTTATTTACTTATTGTAAACCAACTATTCACGACAACTTTATTTCGCGATTTACCAGGGATAAACTAGTTCGCGACGATTAATTTTCGCGATCAAGCCTTTTTGCATCTGTTTTTAATAGACAAATATACTATAAGGACCGCTCCGCGGCGAGAAATATTCGCGACGACGAGGCTCTCGCGAACTTCGCGAAAGTTTCTCGCACGCGAATAAAAGTTGGTTTACAGTATTCAATTTATGTTGCACATATTATGGAAAAACAAAAAAAGTCATTAACAAGGAACAAAATTATATTTTCAGATTTTTATATGACGTACATATCTGTGCAGAATATGGTATAACTGAAATATGCATCATCATTTTTGGACAGGCAAATATATATACATTAAAAAGTGACCAATAGATCAATACAGTACATGTTCATCTCTCTCTCTCTCTCTCTCTCTCTCTCTCTCTCTCTCTCTCTCTCTCTCTCTCTCTCTCTCTCTCTCTCTCTGATAAAATATACGAGTTTTCAATCATAGCTTGATAATGAAAATTGGATTGAAATTTATACAACATATACTACATGTGTGTAGAGATGCCTTTTCAAGGAAACGCTTTCAGCACCTCTCAGAATTCATACATTTGTTAAGTTTTACAATGCTCTGTACACTTTTTTGGAAAATATTCATGAAAACAGCAAAGTCGATTATATTAACAACATGTCTCTTTCCATTTTAAGACTTAAAGACTCGAACAAATTTCCGGAAGCACTTTATACATTCTTCTCTGAATTTTTCGCTCATGAAGCTGTAAATGACGGGGTTGAGGGACATACTGAGGAGATATGACCTCAGAATAAACTGATAGAAGGCTTTCCCTGTGTCTGAAAGAGATGGGTAGTAAGAAGGCTGTACATATCTAATTATAACGATGACGCAAAAAGGTATGAAGGAAAGCATGAAGAGTAGCGTCACCAAGAACAACATGAGGGTGATCTTGATCATCCGTGCCCTTCTGACCTCCTCGCTTTGGACAGACATGGATCTCTGTCTGTGAAATTTTGCTCGTTTTTCAGCTGCTTTGTTGCCACTGTTACTGTCTGTCTTTTTAAGAGATCTTTTAGTGTTGGAATTCAAGCTTTTCAATTCTGCCTCACTGTCCGAGGTTTCTTGGCTGTTGCCATATTTATTGGCGAATTTCTTCAGTATAGAGGGACTTCTCCCGGAACTGTTTTCATCCAGGAAGACATCCTCCGTGTGAGATTGACTACCACTCTGACTGTACTTCCTTGAATCTGGAGAGGTCTGGCATAAAAATGACGATCCTCGCTTGATTACCTGTATGGCAATTAGACTGTAGGCGATGATGAGAATTAGATCAATCAGCAAATTACCTGTCAGGAGAACAATCACGAACGCCAATGGGTAGTCAGTTTTCACAAAAGAATCCTCTATCAAGCACATATGACCCACTACGTATGTCTTAGGGGCTATTGGTACCGGTATGGATTGAATTCCATAGACGACTAAACCAGGCCAAGCAAAAACAACAGCGAAAAATGCACCAACGAAAACAATAATTTTAGCTGTTTTTGTGGACATCTGTGTTTTTAGGGGTCGGCAGATACTAATGTAACGGTCCACTGCAATACCTAGCAAAGTAAAGGATGAACAGTTGTTCATCATAAAAGTCAAAAATCTAGAAAACTTGCACAAAACTCCATTCGTAGTTTGAAACCATTCAAGCATAAAATACAGTTCTGTTGGGGCAGTGAGACAACTGTTTATCAAGTCAAATGCAGCAAGTGCTAAGATGAAAACCCTCGAAGTGGTCTTTCTCCATCTTGTGAAGTAAATGTAGAAGACAATGGCATTTCCTAGACATCCTATTACAAGCATAACAACTGTATAGATAAAACTTGGGATATAGACTTTATCGAACACAGAATCGTTTACTTTCTCCACAATGGCTTCATTCTGCAAAAAGGTAATTGTTTTTCCAGCAGTGCTATTGCTCACCACACTAGTTATACTACTGTTGTTTGGTGCACTGGTTATGCCGTATGTCACACTGTTGGTTGTACTATTTCCCTCCATGATATCTGAAATTAAATGGAAACTCTTTGAATAAAACTTGGAATATTCCTCTATGAAGCTTCTGTCAACTTGCTGTCGTTAATCACGCAGTAAGTTTCCAATAGCCATTCGATTGATAACGTTTTATATACAGTTAGTTCCTTTTTTAAAAATGAGATTAAAGTAAATGTAGATTTTTTTTCTTACCAGGAAAACAGTGCGGGTCTTGGGTAAAATTGTCAAAGAAGGAGATGTGTATCAGAATTCCTATTTTATAGTCATCAAGCAGTATCGGAAATGACGCCAGTTAAACACACAACAAAAACACTCAGACGTATACTGCTCTGTTGTTGTTTAATGCAACAACAACTATCTACATTCAACTGAAAAAAAACAAAACAATAATTGAGTAAATTCACTTTTGTTTACCGGTATTTTGACAAATTAATTATTGACTTAAAGTTGTTACTAATATATGAAATAATAACAAAAATTATCCTTTACAAACCTTAACGAATTTGAAATGTTAACTAGATTACATGTTAATAGATATTAATTGAAACATGATTATCTTTTGCACGATGTTCCTTTAGTATGGTTAGTAAATATAAATTTTTATGCCCCCCACCCCACCCTTCGAAGAAGGGAGGGCATATTACTTTTCTGCTGTCTGTCTATCTGTCTGTCTGTCTGTCCACCAAGTTTCCGTTCATTTTCTTCGCAGAGGTTATATCTACTAAAATGAAATTTGGTATACAGATTTTTCATAAGAATATCTAGGCCAAGTCCTGTTTTGGTAAGGATCGAGCCATTTTTGACAGAGTTATGTCCTGTGAACTTAGAAAAATTCCAATTGTATGCAGTTTCCGTATTTTCTTCGCAGAAGTTGCACCTGCTGAAATGAAATTTGGTATATAGATTTTTCTAAGAATATCTATGTCAATTTATGTTTTGGGTACGATTGAGCAATTTTAGATAGAGTTATGCAATTGGACTTGGAAAAATTCCAATTATTTGGGGGCATAAGAGTTCAACAATCATCTCTTGTTCCTTATTTCATTTCGGTTATAATTCATTGTAATTGAAATGAATTTTATTCGAAATAATTTGAATGTTCACTTGTATTTTTTTTTTCGTTGTGGTCTAATATTTGTATTTCATCTGATCAATAATTATATTGAAATCATAAAAAAAAGCGGCAGTATTATTTAAAAGTACATACAATCTAGGAAAGAAGGATATTTTCGAAAGGACCTTAAACAGTACCACATGCGCAATATATTTTAGAATTTACCTTCCAATAAATCAAGGAACGGATTAACTACTTACAAAACAAATACGCAATGTGCCTACTGATCGGTTTAATTGGAGCCTATTCAACACGCAACAGAGAAATGCCCGACGAATGCCTGACGTTAATTTCATCCGTTAAACACCTGTAGGTCGCTTAATTTATAATTATTCAACATTTATTTGATAACAATTTGTGTTGTCACCAGCGGAACCAACTGCCAGGAACAATGAATTTGTCGTTTGAAATAGCTCTCGGGCCCGTTATCAACGCTCCAACAGTTGGATATTTGTCTGGGGTCGTACAAGGGGGAGACAAAAGAGAAAACTTGGGCGTGATTAATCGTTCTTGAATTGATAAGGTTTTTTGTTGAGGGGATGTCTATCGGTTCCATAAATATGGCCCTACAAACAGGCTCCTATTGCAAATTATGACAACCAGGAATGGCTTCTGACTTTCTACTTAATTAAATTCCAAAAGTTACGAGTCGCCTATCGCGACGTGGGTTTTGGGAAATATTTAGAATGCGATTAAAACTTAATTGAACACTGTGCTAATCTATACTCGCTTCTAATAAGCATTTACAAAATCCTTTTGGTAAATATTTGAGAATGTCGAATACTTAATTGTTTACATATGCTTTAGATTATGTTACAAATTCTAGTCATACCACCACTTTGGGGTGGAATAATTTCCTTTGGTTAATTATGTCTAATACGACATTTATTAATTACCTGTATTTGGCAGAACATTAAGTAATTGCTGGTTAATCTTTTATAAGTAGTAATAAAATGATATTGACATAAAAGCAAATCTTGCGGTAAACATTGCAAGACACATGTCAAAATAAAATTCACTATTAGAGATTGGCAATGAAACATAGATTTACTGAAAAAGAACACCTCACATCTTTTCCTCGATATGAAAAAAAAACATAGTCTGTTTTATTTACATATATAGCTCGTTGCCTGCGTGGAGCAATGGTTAGAACTTTTGCTCGAGAGTCGCAGAGCGAGGAGCTTAATATCCTTACGTACGTTAAGTCGCGATTTCGAATCCCACTGTGGGACATGGAGACTAGTCCTTCGGATGAGACAAACCGAGATCCCGTGTCGCAGAAAGTGCTGGAAAATAATGCCTTCACTGCTCAAATACCCTGAGCCCCTAATAAAGGTTTGAATTTGCAACCCTCCACCGGCAAGTGGCGGCGTCTCCTTACGAGGGAAAAATTCTTGAGGAAGATTAAAAAACAAATTTAAAAAACCCAAAACATATTACTCTTTTAAGCTATTTTACTTATAAATTTCCGGAGGGTACTTCAACTCACAAGAGTTGCACATAATTTCAAGATCATCTGTATAAATATCAGTGATCTATATATTTCAAGGAGGAAGTTTCATTGAATGCATTTTCTCAATATTTAAGCATGTAAAGCAGAACTAGTAAAATGTTAGAAATTGTTTCTTATCCTTTTCCTTGTCAATAAAATGTGTTCAAAACAATAAAGCATCATATATAAGCATGTATATCTCTATCAAGGTGACCAAAAAGTAGAATATTATGTCTTGAAACTATTTTTATAGTATTAAGTCATCTCTCGTTTTGGCTGTTTTTAAATCTCTCGTTGTTCTCATTTTCTGTATCTTTCTCAAAAGAATGTTATATGTTGTTGATTTAATTGCACGTTTTATGTTTTGATTATTGTTTGTGTTTGCCATGTCCTTAAAACAGGATAGGTCAAGGGATGTGATGCATTGTGGTCAACTACAATCCAGAAATGATAGACAAATATGATTGAAATTGACAATGCATTCTTTTTTATTCTTTAAACAAAGAAAACTCTTGTCCCTGTTAAATTTTAAGAAAAATGAAACATCAATATTTAATAAATAAGTTAACAAAGAATGCATTTTAAAAAAAAAATGACAAGGAACATGTTAATATGGGGAAGCCGTAAACACTTGACCCATATATACGTCTTCCTATGAAAGGTATAACAGTTTCTAAACTTCATAAAGAATTCATAATAGTCCGGCATTGTTATGTTTTTTCAGTGTTGGTTAGAATTTTTCTTAAAGAATTCTACCAAAATTTATCATAAAGAATTCTTACTGTAAAGAAAAAGTTATTGATTTTGAAAATGAAATCAACCTATTTCAATCTTTTCATAAAAACTGTTGCGTTCAATTCGATCTGAAACAATAGAAAACTAGTGCTAATTGTAACGGGGACCGTTACAGATGTTCCCCAAACGCTCCCCAACAACTTCCTTTTGGTGCCATATTCCCTGTAAGCTTCATTAAATAAGACAAACTCTATGCATTTGAGGCTTTAACAACATTTACCCAGGAGAAAGTACCAAGTTCATTCAAATTTTAGAATTCCACGCGTGCGCATGTGAATGCATGTGCGTAATGACCATATCATCTTGTCTATACAACCTTAATAATATTTTAATATACTAAATATTAAAGTAATTAATCCAAAAGTATTAAAAAAATACTCGCATTAAACTGTATTTTTGATTTTACTCATTTCACGTGGAAGCACGTGCATACATGAGCATGATGACCATACCTTCTTGTAGAAGTCCATTACATCTATCTATGTTCTAAATCCCACCCCGTTTGGTTGAAAACCAAGGGAGTTATAGCTGTTTAAAGTTTCAGCCAATCAGATTGCAGTGCACGTACACGCACGTGTATGCATGTACATGATGACCATACCATCTTATAGAAGTCTATTATATCTATCTATGTTCCAAATCTCATCCTGTTTGGTTGAAAACCAAGGGAGTTATAGCTATTTAAAGCATAAGCCAATCAGATTGCATCGCATGTGCATGCACGCTTTTTCATGATAATTGCTATATATTTTATTGTAGGATATCCTAATACATGCCTATGTTTAAAATTTCAAAGGATTTCGTCAAAAAACAAGAAAGATATTGAGACTTTAGTTTCAGCCAATCAGAGCAAAGCGCACGTGCATGCGCGTAAGATCTTGCTTTTTTGACCATATCATCTTGTCTATGCTTCTAATATGAGTTTCAAAGCATTTCATCAATAATTTAAATAGTTACGTCTGTATCAATTATGTTGGACATTTCTCATGTTGCACGTGCGAGCTCTTGCAAGCACACGTGCATGCACATGCTTTCATGATAATTCTTATATTACAGGCTGTAGATCTCCCTAATGTATAACTATGTTCAAAATTTCAAATGATTTTATTAAAAAACAAGAAAGATATTGAGACTTTAGTTTCAGCCAATCAGAGCGAAGCACACGTGCTTGCACGTGCGATCTTGCTATTTTGACCATGTCATCTTGTGCATACTACTCATATATCCTTACATTACGAGTTTCAAAACATTTTGTTAAAAAATAGAAAAGTTACGGTTTTATCAATTATATATTGGTCATTTCAAGTTTTGCACGTGCGCGCTCTTGCAAGCACGTGCGCGCAAAATGACCTTGATTCCGCAAATCTACATAACATGTCTACTGACCCTAACAACATTTCACCTAAATCGGATGTGTAGTTTACAAGATCATTCGCGGACAAAATTTTCCCGAGAAGAAAAATAATAATAACTAGATTTGAAACTCGTTGCGAGCAACGAGAGGTCTTCCGTCCGATTCCGGAAAGGAAACGTAAAAACGATCTGCAAAAGTAAAAAAAAATTGCACACAAGGAGGATTGAACCCAAGTCGCCAGCATGAAATACCAACGCACTGAATATTACGCTATCGGGACTTCTACTCTAAATCTACTTGTATATATTAACAAAACAGTGCTTCTCTCTTAAAATTATGAAAGGCGGTTCAATATTCAAAATTTAGCGCCAAACGCCAGGAGTTTATCTTTGCGGCTTTTCTCTGGAATGTTCTATTAAAAAGGTGTGATAGCTTCAATGAAATTAAAAAAGAACGTTCTTATAGCCGTAGATCCGAGGATTAGAAAGTATATTTAACACATTTTACAAATTCCATATTGTATATATGCATGTAACACTAAAGAAGTGAAACGGTTATGAATTTTTTAACTTTTTTCAATTTCC